ACTAACCAGGGTGGGAGTACTAAAAAACTATAAACTAAAAAAATGTGTAAAATTTTATGCTGAGCAATTTAATAGTTAATTACTTTCCGATAGCACTTTTGGTTTTTGTGTTAGAGCCACTTTTCTTACAGGCGCGTTTTAATTGAAGCGCACAGACGAGAGAAAAGGGAAGAAAGAGAGACGCAGAAAAAAAAGAAAAAATCAATAAAATTATTTATTTAAATTTCAAAAAAATCGATGAAACGATTCATGAGTTATTTGATAGTATGGTGAAGTTTGAATTTTGGGACATCTTGGCAAGTTCTGGAAAAAACGTTTTTTGAAATTTTTCGCAAATTCGCTCTATTGCGAATTCTGTACCTCTTTGATTAGGGTCCAAGTTTCAAAATGCTGTTCTTTTCCTTTTTGATTTTGTATAGTAATCTAACCTGGAAATTATTTTATCGATTTTTTGAAAAGAAATAGGCTCCGCCCCTTTTGATCCAAAAACTCACATTGCTAAAAATCAGACATCATCTTCTTCTTCTTCGAAAATGTGAGTAGAATTTGAATGAATATTGAGAACTGATTCTTTTTGAATTGTGGATTTTCAAAATTCCCATTTTTTCAAAAAAAAAAGAAAAAATTGGATTTTGGGATTTTTGGAATGTCACGGGAACAAAAAATTTGAAATTACTTTTTTTTCAAGTAAATAAAAAGAAAATGAAAAGTCGTAAATTTGTTTGCTTCTTCTCTGCGTCTCTCACGTTTTTTGCAGCCACGAGAGACGCAGAGAAGCGAGAGTGTCTAACTTGTCTGCGCCTCTCACGCCAACCACCCCCCCCCCCCCCCTTCAATATTCAAACGCGTATATCTCATTGTAAACTAACAAAATGGGTAAAATTTAATGTTCTACATTTTTATAGTTAACCATTTTTTAATATCTTTATTACTTTTTGAGATATGCGCCTTTAAAGAGGCACACACAAAACGGGGTGGCTGCACCTCTTTAAAGGCACACATTTCTATTGGAGTGAGCGTGGCTAACTCACAAAAAACACTTTAGTTTCCAAACGTCACTCTAATCACAAATCATAGATAAAAACCCCCGTTGACTCATATAGAAACCCCGGGTTGGAGAAAAAATGATAAAATATTTTTTTTTCAAAAAGAGTGACACATTTTGATCTATTTGTGCTTAGAATACGCCAAGAAGTGATTGCTTATCAGTGCAAAATGTTCTTCTCGAGCAAATATAAAAAGTGTTGAGGACAAAAAATTTCAGATTGCCCACTTTTCTGAAATTGTCCAAAAATGAAAATTCGTCAATTTTTGATGTTTTCCATGTTTCTAGTACTATCTAGTTCCTACATTCTGGAACGATTATCTGAAGCTTTACCCGATTACAAAGTTTCTAGAAATTCAAAAATCTATTTTATTTCTGCGGAGCCTCAAAAGAATCTGGACATGGCTCAGTTACATCTAATGAATGGGATGGAGACTAGAAAGTTGGTTTTTTCATTGAAAATAGGGGAGATGTCTAAAATTTGAGGGTTATATAATGTGGAAAATGAAATTTCACACATTTTGTTAGTTAGAAAGTTTTTGATAGAACTGCTGGTTTTTGAGATATGCGCCTTTGAAGAGACGCAGCCTCCAAAAAGGGTGTGCGTCTCTTTAAAAGCGCATATCTTTGAAACTGAAATAGCTATTCAAATTTCGAACATTATAAACACGTATAGCAGAAAATTTTACACATTTTTTAAACTTAAAGTTTTAATATAGCTACAGTAGTTCTTGAGATATGCGCCTTTAAAGAAGCGCGGGCGCTATGAAGTCTAGGTGTCGCCCCTTCTGAGTGTCTGCGTCTCTTTAAAGACGCATATCTCCAAAACTAAAAAAGCTGCTTACCTTTGTAAACTATAAAAATGTAGAGCATAAAATTCTACACATTTTTCTAGTCTTAAATGTTTAGGTGGCTGAAGCCATTTTAGAGATATGAGCCTTTAAAGAGACGCAGACGCTATGATGTCAAGGTGTCAACCCTTCTGAGTGTCTGCGTCTCTTTAAAGGCGCATATCTCGCTAATCAGCAAATCTATCAAAAATTGTTAAGCTGCAAACGTAAAGATCTTAAAATTTTCAATATCTTTGCAGTTTACAATTTTCGATTGCTTTACTGGTTCCTGAGATATGTGCCTTTAAAGATATGCCGAAGCAATAGTATCTGCGCCTCTTTAAAAGCGCATATCTTGCTAAACAGCAAATCTATCAAAAACTTGGTCACAAATGAAATGTGTAGAATTTTATGCTCTACATTTCTCTAATTGACCATTTCTGTTTACCTTTTATCATTCAAAAGTTATCATTCAAAAACTAACGCCTCATTTTTTCAGCGGCACCGTCCTGACCACTCCAACTGCTACTGGATTCCTGATCCCTTCCAAGGACGATGACACTTTGCTAGTCATAGTTCCAGCTAATTTCACAGGATTTTTATACATCACAGAGATTGAAAATATCAATGTTTATGGATTACCACAGGACTTAACGGTTATAAACTTCCAGCCGGGGACTAATTTATTTTTCAATTTGGATTTCCAAGCCCAAACGTTCATTCAAAAAATTCCTGTGGCTAAAAATGTGATTATCAGTGAAACAGTGTCATTTATAGGAGTCACAGGGGTTCCTGAGGGAAATGGGACCTTGTTTTTCAATAGTTCATCGATTCCAGGGTAAGTTAGGTTCCCTGGTTCATGAGATATGCGCCTCTTTAAAGGCGCATATCTAAAAAACTAAAAAAGCTACTTAAATTATGTAAATTACAAAAATGTAGAACATAAAATTCTACACATTTTCATAATTTATAGTTTTCAAATAGCTATAGCATTTTTAAAGGTATGCGCCTTTAAAACGACGCCGACGCTCTAAAGTGGTTATCTGTCTGCGTTTCTTTAAAGGCGCATATCTCAAGAACCAACAAACTTATCAAAATTTTGTCAACTATAAAAATTTGTAAAATTTTATGCTTTACATTTTTATAAATTTCAAAATTATCATAGCTTCTCTAGTTTTTGAGATATGCGCCTTTAAAGAGGCACAGCCACCATATAGTGTCTAGGTGCCTGCGCCTCTTTGAAAACGCCTATCTCAAGAACCAGCAAAGATATCCAAATTTAATAAATTGAGTGAAATGTGAAATTTTAAGGGCTACATTTTCATAATTAACTGGTTTTTGATATTTTTTACGATTCTTGAGATATGCGCCTTTAAAGCGACGCCGACGCTCTAGTGTCTAGGTGCCTGTGCCTTCTACCCACCCTGGAGTGTCTGCGTCTCTTTAAAGGCGCATATCTCAAGAACTAGTCAACTTATCGAAAATTTATAAACTACAAAAATGTGTAAAATTTTATGTTCAATATTCTTGTAATTTAAAACTTCATTATATCTTCTCTGGTTTTTGAGATATGCGCTTTCAAAGAAACACAACGTCTTTTCCAGCCTAACCACCTACAACCAATTGGAACTTGAAATGGAGATTTTTAATTTCCAATCGAATGGAATCGATGTGAAATATGAAATTTCTTACGGTTTGCGACAAGGGATAGATATTAATTATTCTGGATTATGGATGACTAGAAGCTATCCAATCTGGCCGGATTATCAAGCTAAGGAATATGGGATCTTGAATCATCAGAATGATCCAATCACCTTATCTATGATGGTGAGCCTAATTCTCCAAAAAAATCAATAATTATTTCTTCAGTGCCGTTTCCCTATCCATACCAACTTCTACACTGTAAATGTCACTCTTATCAATGCCGACAAATCCATACAGCCTCCAATTATCTTAAATTCCACTTTGGACATTTTTGTGAAATCTGTTTCCGCATTTTCTGGAATCAAAATCGAAGGAGGCGGTCCTTATTCCATACAGTATGAGTTATGGGATCCATTGGCAACTACTGTTGGATATGAGACAAGTACAAAGGCTGGCGGGAGTTTGAATTTTTGGATGGGCCTGGTTTTGGCGGGGATTTTGAATTTATTGTGAATAAAGGTTTTTATGTCTTAAAATTTCCAATAATTCTGTAAAGTTTTCATAGTTCTAGCTTCCATTTAAAGCGAGTTATGCGCCTTTAAAAGTTTGGAAGGGAGACGCAGAGAAACGAGAGTGCTCTAGCGTCTCTGCGTCTATCAATGCGTTTAAAGACGCATAACTTTGCTTGAAGTTGTTCAATTTTAATGATTTTTAGCTAGATTCGTAGGAAACTTAAGGACTACAGGATAATATAAAATTCAAAAAAAAAAGTATTGTTTTCGATTTTTCGCAATTTTTTAATTTTTTTTTCAAATTTTTCAAAAGCATTGAGTATCATCCAGAAGCCCTTAAAACTTCCAATGATTCTGTATAATTTTCAAAGTCCTAGCTTTCCTTTGAAGAGAGTTATGCGCCTTTAAAAGTTTGGAAGAGAGACGCAGAGAAGCGAGAGTGCTCTAGCGTCTCTGCGTCTCTTAAAACGTTCAAAGACGCATAACTTGGCTTGAAGTTGTTCAATTTTAATGATTTTTAGCTGGATATGTAAAACATTTTGAGGGCTACAGAAATATAAATAAGAAGTCATCAAGCTGGTGCGCCTTCGGCGCCCCCTGTGAGACACTGCCCCTTTTCCCACCTGTCGGTATGTTCTACGTCATAATATTGTTAATTTAACATCCGATGTTTCATGGATTTCGAAATTTCATATTTAATTAGTTTCCATTGAACTTATCAAAACTTTCCATCTCCTGATCGTTCTTGCAAACTTGTCATCATGGACACAGAGATCATTATCAACCCATCCTCTCTCTTCCGTCATTTGAGGAAAGTGTGACTACAGACACGATATACCCCTTCAACAGAAAAACCGGTTTTCTTCTATCTCTCCACACACATTCATTTCCTCTTCCAATTTTCATTCTTATCTATTTCATTCTTCGTACCTATTGGGTACATATTACACTTTAGTTAATTTTCCAAATATTTATTCCTCATTTTTCCTTTATTTTTTCCAAATGTTGCTCACTCTTAAAAAATTGTTAAATACCGAGAAAAATGACATATTTTTTGAAAAACAATTCACTAACTTATTTTGCAAAAAAAATACTTAATTCAAAATCATCGGTTAGTTTAAGTTTTAGCCCAAAATAAATGCCTACTGTAGATGCTCAATTATCTCAGTTCCTAGGAGAGATATCAAAAAACCATCAATTGATAAAATATAGGTGATAAACTGATAAATATTTTACTAATTGACAGATTTTTGATATTTCCTACAATAACCTAGATAAATCGGGTCACAGTTAAAAGGGCGGCAGCCGACCGTGTAGCTCATCCGGCAAGCGCCAACTTATTATATTCGAGCTCAATCTATCTCAGTTCCTAGAAGAGATATCAAAAAACCTTTGACTAATAAAATATAGGTGATAAAATGATAAACATACTAACAATTGACAATTTTGCTATAGCTCTTATAAGACCCGAGATAATTGAGCTCTAAGTTCATATATAGAAAATCGTTAAATTTAGCTGTTGTTTTCGGCCCGTCTATTTTTTTTTGAGTGATTTTCTCTTTTCAGTAAAAAATTAAATTAAATGTCTTGAAATACAAATTTTCTCTATCAAATTAGCACAAAAACCATCTTTCTAGACCTATTCGAGAGCGAGTTACAGCCATTTTTGCATATAAGAGAGGCGCAGAGAAACGAGAGCGCTCTCGTTTCTCTGCGTCTCTTTCGAACTTTTAAAGGCGCATAACTCGCTTCAAATGGAAGCTAAAACTATGAAAACTTTACAGGATTATTGGAAATCTTACGGGCTTCTGGATGATACTCAATGCTTTTTAAAAATTTAAAAAAAAATTAAAAAATTGCTAAAAATCGAAAAAAAAATTTTTTTTTTGAATTTTATATTATCTTGTAGCCCTTAAGTTTCCTACGAATGTAGCTAAAAATCAATTCAAAAGGACAATTTTGAACAAATTCGTTTTTCAAATCTACAGTAATCCCCGTAAAGATTGAGGAACTTGTGCGAAAAACTTTATTTTAAACCTATTTGTCTGAGGTTCTCGAGAATCGCTTTTTTTTCCAATTTTAAACCAGTTTTTGACTCTTAACCTATATTTCTCTTTTAATTGAATTCAATTTTCGCTATTTAAGGGTGTCCAAAAGATGAAACTCGAAAATAATGTCTCCTACGAGTCGGATGGAAAAACCTATCGTCTCTATGACGTCACCGCAGAGGACCCAATTCAAGTGAGAGTCAGAAACCATTATTACACTCAACACCAGAATCAAACTGTCCAGTTTGTGGAGGAAATGGTAATTTTTGAAGTTATAGAAAGTTTCAAAAACAATTTATTTTTGGAATTTTCTTATTTTTACCTGGAATCTTACCCCCCCCCCCCCCCCCCCCATCTATTTAAGCTCTATTATCTCGGCTCCAATCAGAGATATCAAAAATTTGTCAACTAATAAAAGATTGGTGATAATATGTGTAATATTTTATCAGTTAACACTTTTTTGATATCTCCTACAGTAACCAAGATGAACTGTGTCAAAGTTAAAAGGTCAGCAGTTGACCGTGCAGCTTATCCGGCACTCGTCAAACAAGACAAAAATTTTATCAGTTGACAAATTTTCCATATCTCTAATAGGAGCCGAGATAATTGAGCTCAAAGTTGGAGCTCCTCAAGTCACTGATTAAAAATTTCAGCACAAAAAATGGCTCAACTTCGATCATGCGAAAATGCCAATTTTGGGATGTTTGGACATGTTGGCCACATTTTTAGACGAGTCTGATCCAGATGTAGACGAGGCGAATCTGATTCACGCTTATCAGACAGCTGAGAAAATCCGAGAAAATCATCCGGATAAGCCATGGATGCATTTGGCAGGTGAGCCTAAATAGGTTAAATCGCGCCCAAGGCGCACCAGCCAGCTGTTTGAAGTGCCAGAGGCGCGGCAAACAGATGACTGGTCAGAGCCCCCCCTAGAATCCAATTTTTAGGCCTAATCCACGATTTGGGAAAAATCATGTCGGTATGGGGAGAGCATCAATGGGCGGTGACTGGGGACACGTATCCAGTTGGATGTGCACCCGCTGAATCGATCGTTTATGGGAAAGCAAGTTTCCAAGGGAATCCAGATGTGGACCATGAGGTTTATGGGACGCCAATGGGAAAATATCAGGAGAAGTGTGGTTTGGAGAATCTGATGATGACGTGGAGTCATGACGAATACATGTATCAGGTTGGTTAGCTTTCAGGGCTTAGAACTTTGCGCACAGTGGGTCGATTTTTGTGAAGTTTAAATTTTTGAATCATTCAGAATATCTAGATTCAAATGATAGTAAATTCAAACGTTTATCTTTGAAAATCGTGAAAGTGGTACATGAAACTTGGAGCCTCCGGTTTTAACAAGGTCGGCTAACTTCAAAGGCTCATAACTCCATACCCAGTGAACTGATTGATATGAAATTTAGATTTTTTAATTTAGCAGATTCTCGCAATTAGAATGATATTAAATTGTTATTAATTGTATTTAAAAATTAGACAGCAAAACACATTTTGAAAAATAAATATATTTTTTTATCTAGCTCACGGAAAAAAGCCAATTTCAAGAGCTCCTAACTCAAGGCCCAATCAACCAATTTTTGTGAAATCTAGATTTTTAAAATTTTCAGCATTTCTATTTTCAGGTCCTCGTAAACCATGGCTCAACTCTCCCGGACGAAGCTCTCTATGCTATCAGATTCCACTCATTCTACCCATATCACTCCCATAATGATTATCTTCAGTTCCAAAATGAACGAGACATCCAAATGAAGCCAGCTATCATGATGTTGAAGTGAGTAGGGCGGGAATTAAAAGTTAAAAAAAAAATTTAATTAACCTTAATTACCTTTAATTATCTTTCAGCGAATGTGATCTCTACTCGAAAAACGACGAAACGCCGGATATTGCCGCTTTGAAACCCTATTATCAGTCTCTAATCGATCAATATGTTCCAGGTGTTGTTAATTGGTAATTAGAGATAATTACCTTATATAATTAAATCTATTTTCTAATAAACAAATTTTATATACTTGATTTATTAATAAAAACAATTTCAATTAAATTTAGGGGCAATGTATCAGGTGGCTGTATAGGAAGAATGATAAAAATTGGATAAAATTAAAAAAAATTCTGAAAATAAAGAAAATCAAATTAGAATTTAGATGCGGGCTTTCAAATAGGCGACGTCTTCTTCAGTGAGGTCGGAGGCTGAAATTTGAAATTTCCGAAAAAATTCAATTTTCACTGAAAATTACCAAACTTAAGGTGTCTGAAAAAGTACTTCGTACTAGTCCGTTTTGTTTGAAATTTTCAGAAAATATAGAAAAAGTCTAGAACTCCATTTTTGTAGTTGACAACTTTTTTGAAAAATCGATATTTGAAGAGATAGAGAGACGCAGACAGTTAGAGCCACCTAGACTTTAAGCTGCCAAAGCTCAGCGCCTAGTAAGGCCAGAAACGTTGTTTTTCCTGCGAAAAACTTGGAATTTTAATATTAAAAATATGAATAATTAAATTTCCTATATTTTGTACTAAAAAAACACTTTTCTAGCTATACTAGGAGCCAAGATATGTCTATTTGAAGCTCAGGCAGCTAGAGACGCAGACAGCTAGATACTCTAACTCTCTGCGTCTCTATCTATCTAGATATAGATTTTTCTAAAAAGTTGTCAACTACAAAAATAAAGTGCTAGATTAGTTTTATAATTGCTAAAATTTTCAGAACAATCTAATAAGTACAAAGTGCTTATCCAGACACACAAAAATTGAAAATTTTCAAAATTTTCAAAAAAAAACTTTTTTTGAAAACTGTTTTAATTTGTTATAAATAGGAATCCTTTATAATCAACCCTCAATTAACTACCTACCGTACTGTCCACAGTCTGGAAGGGTATTCTGAATGCGTGATTGGTCGAATTCACGCCCGTAACGATCCACACACCAGCAGTGTCCGTCGTGGCATTGCTCAGGTTTGTAGAAGCCTTCGAGATCGCAACGTGGCAAGAATACTCCTGTAATTAGGGGGTTAATTAGGCAATGTGTAATTGATCGTTAATTAGAAACTATGTAAAATTTTATAAGCTTCCAAATTTAGAAACAAACGTGAATCTAGCTTGAAAACTAAAAAAGTTATGATGTGATTTTCCCAGCAACATGTTTTTGCCTCTGAACTAGAAAAAACGTACATTTTGAGCCTAATTATCTCGGTTCCTGTGAGAGATATCAAATTTTTGTCAACTGATAAATTGTTTATCATAATATCACCAACATGTTATTAGTTGACCATTTTTTGATATCAGTTACAGTAACCGAGATATATAAGCTCAAAGTTAGCTAGTAGCGTTTTTACGGTAATTTTCATAGCCATCAATTTTTAAAGTTGTTCTTCCAAAACAAAAATATTTTCTAATTACCCTTGACTGCTTAATTACCTATAATTACTTCCAAAAATTCTCACACCCTTTTCAAAAGGGGGCTTTTTCGAAACTTGACAACTATTTAGATCGAAAATCCGAGATAACCGAAAATTTTTGTTATTGACAGTTTCTTGTGTTGCGCAACACGGGGATTACGCTAATTGGTGGTGACACATATTTAATTATATTCCGAAAATGAACTTTTCCATTTTCACACCTTTCAAATTGTACAGTTTCACAGAAAAATGTGGAAAATTCTAGAAAATTTGAGCAATTGCAAACCATTTTGAGATTTTCAGGAAAAATTTGGCTGGGGCGCCTTTTACACTTGGAAATTGCTTCAAGTTGGAATAATCAGGAATCTCAAAAAAGATAAGGTTTCTGAAAATCTAAATTACATGATAATCAGAAAATATCTTAGACCCAACTAACTGGGGCGTCTTTGGCGCGTTTCCAAAAATTTATATATCTCTAAAAGAAGCCCATCCAAACCGTCATCTTTGAGCTCAATTATCTCGGTTCTTGTGTAAGATATCAAAAAAGTTTCAACTGATAAATTTTTTATCATAAAATGAACAATATTTTATCAGTTGACAACTTTTTGATGTCTCTCACAGGAATCGAGATAATTGAACTCAAAGCTGACGGTTTGGGTGGGCTTCTATTGGGGAACAACGCAGCTCATTTTTTAGAAAAAACCGTTTCAAATTGCTTCAAAATGGGAATAATCTGAAAATTCAAAAATGAAAAACATCTTTTTGAATCCGACAATCGTAAAAATCTAGCAAAAAGATCCTAGACCCAATTGGCTGGGGCGCCTTTGGCGCGTTTTCCAAAATCTACCATTTTGCCCAGACACCCTCTTTAAATCACTTCAAAATTGGAATTTTTGAGAAATTCAAAAAGGTGAAAACTTCCAAAAACTTGTTAAATTTAAAATTAAGCTATTAAAAAATTTTTAGACTTGCCAACGTTATGTGGGTCCACTCCGTGCTTAGCCTTGTGGCATGGTGGCTCGTGTCTCAAGTCGTCAGAGAAGCTGAAGCAATCACACCACTCATCGATAGAAATCGATCCATCGACATCCATGTCGTCTGAAAAACGGAAAATTCCAAATTTTTAAAGAAAAAAAATCTGAAAATCTGAAAAGAAATTTTTGAAAAACATTTTTTTTTCAAATTTTTTCCAGTTTCCTTGACCTTGAATTTTGATTTTAAACTCAAAATGATAGAAATTTGAAGCTTTCTCTCATAATTTTCCTATTTCCACATTTAAAACTTACCGCACATATCGATGAACTCCTCAACACATGGCTCGTTTCCTCCACGCTCGAGTGGGCGGAGCTCTGTCTGAAAATTGTTATTTTTGAAGGCATCATTTGCAAACTGTAGTTTTTAATTATGTGAAATCTAAAAATCTAGATTCTGAGAATTCTAAAATAGGTTTCAAATTTCAAAAATATCAACTTTGAGGCAAGTTATGAGATTTTGAAATTTTCAAAAAAACATTCTGATCCTAAAATTTTTGAAGTCAATTTTTAAAACTACAGTACTTTTCTAATTTTTTTGAACTTTTAAAGCTTTTTTCAGATTATTGATTTTGTCTTTTCTCGCTCTTTCTTTTGATATATCACATGACCTAGTTTTCCCAAAATTTGGGTTTTTCTAGGCCATCAAACTTCAAACCCCCCATAACTTTGCTCAAAATTAAGATTTTTCAAAAATTCAAAGTGTTTCGATGGCCTAGAATTATTTAGGCCATGATTTCTTTACCTTGGACAGTTTTCCATCCATATCCCCATCCCACTGGTTGAACATCCATCCAATTTCGGCACGGCATGGGACAGAGTGCACTGAAACAACAAAAAATTGGAAAAAAATTCATAAATTATTTAGGTTGCGTGACCTTTTTGAATGTTTAGGTTGACATTTATGACTCCGCCCACTTTTTTTCAAGAAAAATCTCAAAAAAGGAAGTTCCTGGTGCTAGATTTTTGAAAAAAAATTTCCAATTTCCTAGGTCTACACTGTCAAGTTTGAGCTCAACTATCTCGGCTCCTATGAAAGATATCAAAAAGTGGTCAACTAATAAAATGTTTATCATAAAATCAGAAATATTTTATCAGTTGACAGCTTTTTGATATCTCTCACAGTAACCGAGATAAATTAGCTCAAAGTTAAAAGCTAAGGAGTTATTGGTGTTTTGGGTCGTTTTCGACCCGTTTTTGATCCGTTTCTTATCAATTTTCCAGCTTTTCTCATCAGTTAGTAAATTTATCAATTTTTATTAGTTCAATTATTTTTCTATTTATTTTAAATCCATAAAACTCCAAGAACAAGTTTTTGAAGTTAAGTGGTTTTCATCGAAATGCCGTATTTGTGACGACCCACGCTATAAGCAAATTTTGAGCTCAACTATCTCGGCTCCTATGAAAGATATCAAAAAGTGGTCAACTAATAAAATGTTTATCACTTTTTGATATCTCTTACAGTAACCGAGATAAATTACCTCAAAGTTAAGAGCTGGGGGGTGAGAGGTTTCCCACATAACTCTTTTCTCCCCTTTTCTTGGAATTTTTCCCGCTGGTTCCCATATTTTTCATCCCTTGTAGAGTCTTCTGTTCTCCGTTGTAAATGTCATTATTCATAAGCTCCGCCCACTTTTGTCTTCTTCTTCTCCGATCAGCGGGGGCGGAGACACCCTGCTGAGAGGAGGAGAAGAAGAAGACGTTTTGAATTGTATAGCATTTTTGCTGTTGTTGATGATTTTTGTATAGAATTCTAGTATTTTTAGAAAGAGAGTTAGTCATCCAAAATTCATTAATCTTATTTCCCAATTTGACTATTTGACCTCAACTTCTCTATTTTTTTGACCCAAAACACAACCACCGCCCTATCATCCTCTTGTCATATCACAAGATTAGCTGTGCTCAGTGAGCACTACTCCTTCTTTTCCGCCTAAAAAACAAACAAATACGTCTTTTTTTTTTCGAAGAAAGTCGTTTTTCCCATTTTTCAGGAATTAAATAAATATTAGAGGCACACTGTTTTTTTTCTAAGTCGAGTACTTTCTCTCTTATCTCCCTGCTATCCGCCGTTATCATATCCAGATCATTGCTAGATCACACTTTCAAAATTAAATGGATTTTCTAGTCATCGGAAAAGGTGGCCTGAATTTTTGAATAACAAAAAAAAATCCAAAGAATGGTTTTCCTGACTTTGACCTTTATTATCTGTGTTGCCCTATAAGATATCAAAAAGTTGTTAACTAATGAAATGTGCAAAATTTAATTTTACACATTTTATCAGTTGATAACTTTTTGATAGCTATTCTGAAAATCGAGATAATTCAAAAACATCAACCTAATGCCACCTCCACCGGAAAAGAGAATGGGGGGAGTGCCTCCCTTCAACTTTGACCCCAATTATCTCGGCTCTTCTAAAAGTTATCAAAAAGTTGTTGACTAATAGAATGTGCAAAATTTTATGTTACACATTTCATCAGTTTAGTACTTCTTGCTATCTTTTTCAGAAAACCTGATAATTCAAAAATAGCAACCAAATGCCACCTCAACGGGAAAAAAAGGGGGAGGGGGCCTCACTTCAACTTTGACCCTTATTATCTCGGCTCCTGTGAGAGATATCAAAAAATTGCCGACTAAAAGAATTTGTAAAATTTAATTTCACATATTTCATCAATTTATTACTTTTTGCTCTCTTTCTTAGAAAACGAGATACGTTAAAAATTCCATCACTATGTCTACTACTGGAAAAGGTGGAGTAGCTTCAACTTTAACCCTTATTATCTTAGACCTCCTAGAAGCTATCAAAAAGTTGTCAACAAGTAAAATGTGCAAAATTTAATTTTACACATTTTATCAATTGACAACTTTTTGATAGCTGTTATAGAAAACAAGATAATCTTAGAATACCAACTACATGCCTACTGCGGGGAAAAGGGGGGGGGGCGCCTCACTTTGCCGCAGCTCAAAAGGTGCGCTTCTTAGATCCTCATTATCTCAGCTCTCCTGAAAGCTAGCAGAACATGTTTCACTGATAAAATGCTTATCGTATTATCAGCAACATTTTATTAGTTGACAACTCTTTGCTAGCTATTTTCAGAATCGAGATATTTTGGTTTGAACTGGAGATGTCAATAAGGTCCCCCTCCCCTCAATTTTTGGATTTCTAGGTCAATTTTTTTGGTTTTTTTTGTTGAAAAATAAGCGTTCTTTACATTTTTCCCTATAAAAAACAATATGTGTCGGTGTTTGCCCCTTTGATCCTATTCTCAATTTTCCACCTGAATTCCCCTCTTCCATCGGATCTCCTTCGACCTTTTCCCTCCTTTGTCCCTCTTCCCTTTTCTGATGTTATCGTTTTTCTCCTCTTCTCAAAAAGAAGGCGTCCTTCTTCTTTATTGTCGTTTCTTCCCCCTTTTTTATTCTTATTCTCTCATTTTCAGCCCTAAATTTCTTGTTCTTTTTCAGTCATGTATCGACAATCAATGGCGAACGGTGCGGCCGCCAGCGTCCTATTTTTCATTTTCCTTTTTGTTTTGGCAAGGTATCTAAGCTTTAGAAGTTGTTTGATTTAAAAAAAACTAGAATAAATTATCTTTAAAATGAGCTAAAAATCAAAAAAATCGACTGAAAATGAGCTAAGTTAGAAGATTCCAAAAAAATTGCTTGATTTCCAAAAATCCCTTTTTTAGTAATTTTGAAAATCCAAAAATCCCAAAAATTCCGGAAATTCCTATCAATCAAGTTTCAAATAATGGTAATTTCAGACACATGAAAAAGCTGAAAGTGAAATTGCCACCATCCAATAAACCCGAAGACGAACAATTGAGAGAATTGGAATGTGGTAATTTACCACCGCCTTACTTTGTCATCCCATCACAACCACCGCCAACTTATCAGGTATGAACCTTTGAGGTTTTGAGAATTTAAAGGAGCATTTGAATGTTTAAAAAACTCTGAAATTTCCTTCTCAAAATTATAGATAATCTATAGAGTTTGTTTGAAAATTTCGATCGGACCTTAAACGTTTACCCAATTTATCTCAATTCCTATAAGAGATATCAAGAAGTTGTCAACTGATAAAATATTTTGCATATAATCAGCAATATTTTATCAGTTAACAGTTTTTCGGTATCTTTTAGGAGAGCCGAGATAATGAGAGTCAAAGATGACGGGAGGCGCCCCACCGCCCTTTTCCATAGTAGAAATGCTAGAAGGTTGGTATTTTCTAATTATCTCGTTTTCTATGAAAGATATCAAAAAGTTGTCAACTGATAAAATGTTGCTAATATTATGATAAACATTTTGTTAGTTAACAGATTTTTGATGTCTATTAGTAGAGCCGAGATAATAAGTGTCAAAGTTAAAGTACCCCCCCCCTTTCCAGAGGTGCTAGAAAGTTGGGATTTTTGGATTATCTCGTTTTCTAAGAATGACAGCAAAAAGTACTAAACTGATAGGATGTTTGTCATAAAATAGCAATGCTTTATCAGTTGACAGTTTTTTGATATGTTTTAGGAGAGCTGAGATAATAAGGGTCAAAGTTAAAGGATCCTTAAATTGCTAGTGGACTTTCCTAGAGCTTTGAAATAGAAATTTCAGGAAAAAATTATAAAGTTCTCACAGAAGGGTAGAGAGGAAAATTTAATTTTAGGGAGTTTTAGAGGTTACTCTATGTATTTTGAGTGCTCAGCTAGCGCCTCTCAGCTGGTAGCTTTGCGGCACCTCCAACGTTGCGCCCACGAGTTCAACTCCTCAAGGGGGCTTCTTCAGCTTTGAGCTCAATTATCTCGGTTCCTATAAAAGATATCAAAAAGTATTCAACTGATCAAATGTAGGTGATATTATGATAAAAAATTTATTAGTTAACAAACTTTTGATATCTTTTATAGGAACAAAGATAAACTGGCTCAAAGTTGGATATTCTTTTATTACCTATGGGTTTTCCACAAATCCCATATTCCCTTCCTTATCAATCCGACACAGAATCCCATCAGTAGATGTCGGCAACATCTCAAAAAAAAACCTCCCACCACTAGCTTTGAGAGGGAAATAGTAATGAAGCGTGAAATCGTTTTATTTTCCCTTCTTTTTTGTTCTCAAAAGGGAATATTCTCGTTTAGGGGACTGATGAGGGTGGGTGGGGGGTATGGGTGGTTTTTATGACCGTAATTAAAGAAATCAGGGGGAGAAAAATGCATTTGGAGAAAACACACTGTAGATTCAAGCGGTTGCAAAAAAAAGAGGATTCTGAAATGCCTAGCTTCCGATAGACTCAAAAACTAGGAAACCCTGACTTTGACTCAATTTATCTCGGGTACGGTAGGAGATATCCAGAAATTGTCAACTAGTAAACTGTTTATCATACTATCAGAAATGTTTTATCAGTTTACAGATTTTTCATATCTTTTTCAGGAATCAAGATAAGTCGAAAATACCAACCTTATACCCCTTTGCCTCGAAAAGGGGGGGGGGGCACCTCACTTCAACTTTGACCCTTATTATCTCGGCTCTCCTAAAAGATACCACAAAACTTTTAATTAATAAAATGTGTAAAATTCAATTTTACATATTTTATTAGTTAATTACTGTTTGTTATCTTTTATAGAAACCGAGATAATTCTAAAATACCAACCTCTACCCCAAAAAGTCAATTTTTGGATTTTCCAGGAAGCCCTAAAAGCTGCCAACTCCAAAACCTCCTCCAGCTCCCCTCAAATCATCTAAAACTCACATTTCAAAGTGCGATCGGATCCGGCGTTGGCGGAATGAACATCCTTGAACCATTTCACAAGACGTCCTCCCATACGCATCAATTCGCTTCTTGTGCAGTCTGACAATATTATGATCTCTATTGGCTTTATATCGGTGGTTTTTGAAAATTGTCTATTTCGGGTTAATAAAAACTTGAAACTTCTCAAAAAGTTAACTTACGATTCTCATGAGTCTTTGGCTTCTGAGCTGGAGTTGATGGAGTGCGTGGCTGAAAAAATCGAGTACTGAAAAAATTCCTTAAGCTTACCAACTTTGAATCCCTATATCTCACTATTTGTAAGAGATACCAAAAAGTGATCAACTAACAAAATATTTATCATAATATCAGAAACATTTTATTAGTTTACAACTTTTTGCTATCTCCTACAGTAACCGAGATAAATCGGGTCAAAGTTAAGAGGTCGTCAGCCGATTGTGTAGCTCAAGCGTCGATTTTTCAACTTTGACCTCATATATCTAGTTTCCTATAAAAGATATTGAAAAAGTTGTCAACTAGCAAAATGTTTATCACAATGTCAGCTACATATTATCAGTCGTCAACTTTCTCATATCTCTTACAGTAACCGAGTTAAGGGACTCTTCTTATCAGCAACATTCTTCTCTTCTTCTATGTGATATTATACCATTTGATTACCCTGACACAAAAGACCGTACTACTCCATAAATCAGCCGTTAAACCAATACAATCATCTTCGCTTAGGAATCCTATGTCATTTCTTTAATGGGTGGCCGCGATTCTCCTAGAAACGTCGTAAATCAGTGAGAACCTTCTAAGCGGCAGAAACAAAAAATTTTTTCCTTGTTTTACGACCCACCATATACCTAGGGGGGTCTAAAAAGCGTGTCATTGGAGATTAGAGGATAAGGAATTTGGGAAAAATGTGAAAATTTAAACCTATTTCTCAATAAATTCTGAATAATAGCTGCGCGCCTTTAAAGCTCAAATGAACGCAGGGAAAGGAGAGCGCATGACAGTCTGCGTCACGGCTCATGTTAAATTGCTCATATCTTTAGAAGCGTTACAGTAATCAAAAAATGGTCCACTACAAAAATGATTAACATAAAATTTTCTACATTTCTTCAATCTACAAAAATTTTGTAGTTTTTTTTGTTTTCGAGATATGCGCCTTTAAAGCTGCGCGCCTTAAAAAGAAGAGGGAGGCGCAGAGAAAGAAGGGCGCGCGCCTCCTCCTCTACGAAATTGCTCATATCTCTAGAAGCGTTACAGTAGTTAAAAATTTGTTAATTAGGAAAATGATCAGCATAAAATTTTAAACATTTCATAATTTACATAATATTTATAGCTCTGTTAGTTTTCGAGATACAACTTGCCAAAGTTCGAAAACTCCAAAATATGCCAAATTTAGACTTATGGCCTAGCAAACCCAATTTTTCTGGAAAACTAGGCCATGGAGCTTTCCAGACAGCTGAATCATTTCTATAGCCAATTATTATGGATTTCTAGGATTTCTACCTAACTGAAAATTGCAAATTTCAAACATTTTCAAATTCCCGCCCGACCATACTCACACCATGTCCGTGTTGTTTGTTGTGGGCCTTGACGAACTCGATGCTGAAATTTTCAGATTTTCAGATGTTTTTCTCTTTATTCCAACACTCACGCCTCCTTTGGTCCCATGCACTGAACCTCCTGAGTCTCCTGAATCATGATACACATCTGGCTCTCCGAGCATTCCGCCTGGGCGCACCATTCGACTGAAAACCTTTGCTTTGGCGGGAAATTCCAAATTTTTAGAGTTCAAAATGAACCCAAATTTAGGCCAAAGCCTCCAGAATATTCTAGATTCACTTACCATCATCATCTCCCGGAACGACGACTACTGTAGCCGCCACGTGGCAGACTAGAACTGCCAGAAGGAAGATCTTCATCTTGGTTCGATCGATATGAACCAGAAAATGAAAAGAATGAGAAGACACTTTACGATTCGGAGCCGCCTCCGACTCTCTGACACATCGGGCCGTGAGTGTCTGCGTCTCTCGTTTCTCTACACTCTCTCGTATCACAACATGTGTAAAAGGTGCCAGGCAGAGTTGACAGCTGCTGGAGATGCAATGATTGAATGGGGAGAGAGAGAGATGACCTCTTTGAGGATTCTTCTAGAAACATCGGGGAGAGAAATTGGGGAGCTACGCACCTTTAAAGCAAAGAGAGACGCAGAGAAACGAGAGCGCATGGTCGTCTGCGTCTCCGCTTGTATTAAATAGCTTATATCTCCAGATGCTTTATAGCTATCAAAAAAATTGTCAAGTATAAAATTACTCAGCATAAAATTTAAAACAATTTTTAAGTTTACACAATTTTCATAGCTTTCTCTGTTTTAGATATATGCTCCTTCAAAGAGAAGTTGGAGAGAGACGCAGAGAGAGGAGAGCGCGGGCTCCCTTCTCTATAAAATTGCTCATATCTCGAGAACCGTTAGAGTAATCAAAAAGTTGTTAACTACCAAATTGATTAACATAAAATTTCCAATGTTTTATTAGTCTACAAAATGTTCTTAGCTCTTCTAGTTTGTGAGATATAGCTCTTCAAAGTTAACAGAATTTTTAAAAAAAATTGTTAATTTTTCTAGTTTTTGACGAAAATTCTGATTACTTTTTTTACATTTTTGGGATCCTAACACATGACTATAAAGTTTTCAAAGTTCATATCAGACTAAAATCCCAAATGATGTTATTTTTTTTCAAAAAAAAAAAGCAGGTGGCTTTCTCAATTTTCAGACATTTCCAGATGTATTATTATCCCCCAAACTAATCATTAAATTTTTTCGAAAAATTTTCTTATTTCAAAACTTTTCATTCTAGAAGCTTCGATTCCTCTCAAGTCTTATGATTTTCTACGTATTCCGTGCGGATTCTCTGAATTCCACTGAACAGTATGCTATAGAAAATTTTCGAATAATTCCATACATAAAATTCGGGAAATCCTCTACCATAGTTGTCAATTTGATCATTCAACTTTTAATGATTTATTATATTTATTTTCGTAGGAAAAATCAAGTCTCCCGCCTGATCTTAGTGCCAGTGGCAAGTGCGCTCCAGTGCATTTTTTATATAATTATTCAATTAACTCTACAATTTTATTCTTCGAGGTTCCTCCTGTTTTTCTCGATGCTTCTGGAAGCTTCTATAGATTTATTGACGTCTTCTAGCATTCTAGTGATTCCTTTTATTCAAAAATTTGGGGGAAAAGACAGGTAGGTCAATTTTTGTCAAACTTTTTCAAACAGCTATATCTCAAAAACTAAAAAAGTTACTTAAAAATTACTAATTACAAAAATAATTAGCATAAAATTTTAAATATTTTATCAGTTGACAACTTTTTGATTACTTTCCTAGTTATTGAGATATGCGCCTTTAAAGCTACGCGCCCAAAACGAAGAGGGAGACGTAGAGAAAGGAGAGCGCATGACCGTCTGCGCCGCTTCCTCTGTTAAATTGCTCATATCTCCAAAACCGTCAAAGCTATTAGAAAGTTGTTAGCTACAAAAATAATCAGCATGAAATTTCAAACTTTTTTCTAATTTACTAAATTTTGATTGCTTTATTAGTTTTGGAGATATGCGCCTTTAAAGATAAGAAGGAGAGAGACGCAGACTAAATAGGGCGCACGCTCTATTAAATTGCTCATATCTCCAGAAGAATCACAGCTATTAAAAAACTGTTAACTACAAAAATGATTAACATAAAATGTTAAACATTTTATCAGTTTCCAAAATTTTTCTAGTTTTTTTGCTTTTGAAATACAATCTGTCAAAGTTGAAAACCGGAAAAATCCCGGAAAATTCCAAAGTACACAATTTTATACTCATTTTAAAGCTCTCTTTCAACCAAATCCAATTTAACCCTAATTTCCAGATTATTCCTGAACATTGTCATTATCTTTTTCTCCATTGGTTTCCCTCTTCTTTCTCTATTCCATCATGAAGTTTATAGATCAAACTTTCCAATTATCGGACTTACAAGTTATTGGATCTGGGATAAGGTAATTAGCTTTTTAACAAATTAATTTCCCATTATGCTTTCATGGTATTTTTAATTAATTAATTACTCCATTAATTACCCTAATTATCCAATTCAGGGACTCTTCCGTCTTCAATATTCCATTCCAATAGCTGCAATTCTCATCAATTTGAGATTTCGAGAATTCTTCTTAGCAAGCTTCTGCAGTCAAATATTCAAACTTCTGGTTTTATGTGTTCTGGAAGTTTCTGAAGCTCTATTTTCAGAAAATTCCAGACTTCTAACCCTAATCGTCTTCCAATTTATCTCTCAAGTTCCAGATTTAATTTTCAGCATTCTAGTTTTTCAGAAAATTCGAAAACTCAAAAATCCAACTGAAAATGTTGCCATCATCGAACGAATTAGTACTTCATAATGTGAATTTCGATGTATGCTATCTTTTTTTGTGATAAGAAATTTTGTGATAATAAAAAATTATATTTCGTTGTTCTTGTTGCTGTTTCTAAACCGGAAAATGACAAATGCTCTGGGTGTTTTTGTGGTTTTTGCAGTTTTTCTCGCTGAAAATGGGATAAATGGGAATATCGGTGAGTTTTTGAACTTTGAATTGATGTTAAAAATCAGATATCGAGTTTTTCAAACCTTCGAGAAATTCGAAGTCACAGTTTTCGTCATATTTTTTTTTCAATTTCTTTAAAGGCGCATATCTCAAAAACTAGAGAAGCAATCAGAATTTTGTTAACTAAAGAAATGTAGGAAATTTTATGCTAATTATTTAGTAGTTGGCAATTTCTTGACTACTGTAACACTTTTGGAGATATGAGCAATTTCTTGAAAGCGATGGCGCGCGCTTTCCTTTTTCTGCGTCTCTTTTGCTCTTCCGACTTTGATGGCGCATATCTCAAAAACTAAGAAGCTACCAAAAATTTTGTTAACTAATAAAGTGTTTAAAATTTCATACTGATTATTTCTGTAATCCGTAATTTGTTGATAGCTATAATGCTTCTGGAGATATGAGCAATTAAATACAAGGGAGTGCGCGCCCTCGTATCTTTGCGTCTCTCTCCCCCCTCTTTAAAGGCGCAAATCTCAAAAACTAGCAAAGCTTTACAAGTTTTGTAAACTACAGTAATTTTTAAAATTTCATGCTGATTATTTTTGTAGTTAACAATCTCTTGATTACTGTAACTCTTTTGTAGATTTGAGCAGTTTAATAGAGGACGCGCTTTCCTCAATCTGCGTCTCTCTCTCTCTCTCTCTCTCTGCTTTCTTGAAAGACGCATAGGTTGAAAACCAAAAGAGCTATGACAAATTTATAAAGTGATAAAATGTTTTACATTTTATGCTGAATATTTTTGTAGTTGACAACGTTTTGATTACTGTAATTCTAGAGATATAAGCAATTTAGGAAACATGCGCTCCCCATTCTCTGCGTCACTCTCGCTGCTTTGATAGCGCGTAGCTTTAAAGGCGCATGTCTCAGAAACTAAAAGAGCAAGGCAGTTTTTTAAACTAATAAAGTTTTTGAAACTTAATACTAATCATTTTTGTAGTTGACAACTTTTCAATAGCAATTTTGGTTTTTGAGATACCAAAACTTTAAACAAATTAGTTTCAAAAATCGCAATTTTCGAAAAATCTGTGTTTCCAAATTTCCGGATTTCCAGGAAAATGTGATCTATCCTCTCCACCCACTAGTTGGCTCTCCACGAATGCTTCTGGAATTCTGCAATGGGCAACAGCGGGGCAACCAACAAATGGGATCAATTACTGTATTGATGTAAACCTTTTTTGGAAATTCGAAATTTCAAAAACATTTCTGTATTTTTTTTTCTTAAAAAATAACATTTTCAGATGACCAACTCTGAAAGCGGTCTTCACATCCTTCAAGTAGCCTATCACATCGATTTGGGGGAGGAATCTTCCAATTCTGAGAGCTCTGAAATTCCCGAAAAAGTAGATCACAACTTTTTTGGAGGTGCCCTAGAATTAGGGAGTCAAAATGGATGTGTGAATAATAATACAAGAATTGTGTACTGTTTTGCATTGTGTTTGAATCAAACGCTGCAAAATATGGTGGGTTTTTAGGGACACAATGAAACGAGAGTGGATGACCGCCTGCGTCTCCGCTTTTATTAAATTGCTCATATCTCCAGAAGCGCTACAGTAATCAAAAAATTGTCAACTACAAAAACAATCAGCATAAAATTTTAAACATTATCTTAGTTGAAATAATTTTTATAGCTTTTTTAGTTTTTGAGATATGCGCCTTTAAAGAGAGCAAGGAGAGAGACGCAGAGAGAGCCGCAGAGAAGGGGCGAGCGCGCGTTTATAGTTGCTCATATCTCATCAACCGCTACAGTAATCAAAAAATTGTCAACTACAAAATTGCTCAGCATAAAATTTCAAACATTATATTAGCTTACAAAGTTTTTTCTAGTTTTATTAGTTTTTGAGCTATGCGCCTTCAAAGATAGCAGGGTGAGAGACGCAGAGAGAGCCGCTGAGAAGGGGGAGCGCGCGCCTATAATTGCTTATATCTCCAGAAGCGTTGTAGCTATCAAAAAACTGTCAACTACAAAATTGCTCAGCATAAACTCTCCTACATTTCGTCAGTTGACAATACTTTTATAGCTGTTTTAGTGTTTGAGATATAGGCTACTGAAAAAATATTTCTAAAGAATGTTTTTTTTTTAAATTTGTTTATTATTTCCAGGTAATCGAATCCGCTCTAAAATCCAATCAAGTCGCGTTTGTTGCTCAAGACATTCAAAAAACGACTCAACTCGATTGGGCGATTACTGTAATGCAGGTGAAAATAATTTCGAAAAAAATTTTTTTTTCAAAATTTTGGATTTTTGAATTTTCAAAAAATAAACTTTCAGGTGGACTACAACGATCCGAGCACCCATTTAAATGTCAGCTCCTTCTTAAGACCTGATGCCTGGTGTAGTGTCTATGTTGGGATTAAGCCCAAGCTGGGCTTCGATTATTTGTATGAAATTCAATTGGGAAAAATTTTGAAAAATTAATTTTTTTTAATTAATTTTTTTTTTCATTATAAAACAATTACAATCATTAACAAACAACGAAATTTTAATTTTTCATCACAAAAAATGTCTTACTGCTTATTAGCGAGATTAGCGAGAGCAGACACTAACTGCTTGCTTTCTTTCTTTAAAGGCGCATATCTCAACTTCCAATAAAGATATCAAAAAGTTGTCAACTAGTAAAATGTATGAAATTTAATTTTACACATTTTATCAGTTTACAACTGTTTTCTATCTATTATAGAAAACGAGATAATTCAAAAATACCAGCCTACTGCCACCTTTACCAAGAAAAGAGAAGGAGGGGGGGGGGCACTCCACAAGTGGGAAGGTGTTAACTTTGACCCTAATTATCTCAGCTGTGCTAATAGCTATCAAAAAGTTGTTAATTAGTAAAATATAGAAAATTTAATATTACATATTTTAACAGTTTACTACTTTTTGATAACTTTAATAGTTCAAGAGATACGCAATGTTTTGTGCAACCAAGGGTATATGAATGTCTGTGTCTCTTTAAAGGCGCATATCTCAGCTCCCAGTAAAGATATCAAAAAGTTGTTAACAAATAAAATATAGATTTACGCATTTTACTAAATGAAATTTTTTGGATATCTCTACTTATCACTAAGATATCAGCAATTTTACCCAACCTCAATGATAAAAGCGCCTCGTGGTAGATCTGGCCCCACTCTCACTATATCTTTGCCTATGTAAAATTTCCAATGGTCCCGAAATTTTTTAAAACTACAAAAAATGAAAAATGGGGTGAATAGCTCTGGAATAGAATAGGAAAATGTTAGTAGTTTATCGATTGGAGCCTTTTCGGACAGCTCTGTGGCTGCTGGGGTGGTATTGAATTCATTGAGGATGTTGATGGCCTGAAAGGGGTACTGTAGGTACTTTAGAATTAATTTGAATGCGCATACTTACCATTTGAAGGGTTGAAATAAAAATAATCAAAATTGCTCGATTGCTTTCGGGTATAAGGAAAGTCTTAACACTTTCTTTTACGTTAGTGTTCAATTTTCGATTTTTTAAGATAAAATTGATGTAGACAGCGATTATAAGAACTGGGAAGATGTAGTTGATCTGGAAGAGTACTGTAATTCAGAAAGTAATTGAATTGGCATTTTTTATCTCCTTATCGTGACTTGAAAAGGTTTGTACCGTGCTTTCTCTAATAGAAGCGCACTGTACCCGCACTTTGAGCTCAATTATCTCAATCCCTATGAGAGAAAAAGAATAGTGGTCAGCTGATTAAATATTGCTGATAATATGATAAAGCTTTTATCAGTTGACATAGTTTTGATATCTCTCATAGGAACCTAGATAATTGAGCTCAAAGTGCACGTATAGCTTCTGATAGGTATTATGACTGATAACTCTGTGGACCCACTTAATTTTAAGAACTTTTTTGTGTTTTCAGAAGTTCGGAGCTAAAAATGTTTTAATGAAACTAATATTAACTAATAGATTCACTGACCTAATAAAAAGTCTCAAAAAATGATGAGAAACGGATCAAAAACGGGTCGAACGTCGCTCAAATAACCATTGACCTCCCGGTGGCTTCAAGCGTCATTTTTGAGCTTAGTTCGTATGAAAGATATTGGAAATGTGTCAATTAATAAAATGTTTGTGATAATTTGGTGAACATTTCATCAGTTGACAGATTTTTGATATCTCTTATAGGAACTGAGATAATTGAGCTCAAAGTGCAGATAAAGGGGTAAGCCTATATTACGTATTAGGGGCGAGGCCTCGTAAACCGACAACCAAATTTAGGGTAGTTTAAAAAGATCTGTAAAAATCTGGTAGATCAAAAATGTCAAATCTACTACAAAGCTTAACATTTTGTTCCTAGGTTCTCAGTGAAAAACTACCAAAATGAAATTTACTCTACATATAAGCTTAATATATTGAGATAATCAAGGAACCCCGAATCATCTACTTTGAATCTATATATCTAATTTTCTGTCAGAGATATTAAAGAGTGATCAACTGATAAAATATTTATCATAACGTCAGCAATATTTGATCAGTTGACAGCTCTTTGATATCTCCTACAGTAACCGAGATAATTTAGCTCAAAGTTTGCTCACCTTCATCATCCAACAATGGAGCCAAATATGGTTAGTGTTACTAACTTCCATAATCCCATTTTCATAGCTGAACCATCGTTTCATACTCCCAAATCCAATTTGAGCAATACCCAAAAAAGCCATGACAGCGAACACAAAAATGAGCAGCAACCCATGCCAATCCATGAAATAAAACATGTTTCTCTCTTTATCATGATACATAACATATTGATGAACAGCCAGAACTAACATGACAGCCATTGAATAGTTCCAGGAGGTATAATCCAGGAAATGGGAGATTTCTAGCCATGTGGAAGATCGATTGTCAGGGTCCCAGGAGATGATGGAATAGAGAGTGACGGAGGCACGAAGCATGATTAGAAGGTTCATAGTGATAACTGATAAGTGGAAGGAGGAGTTGAGATGGAGGACGATGAGAGCAGCAAAGTAGAGCATTTGGAATATTATGACTAGGGCTTCGAATAAGCCGAAAAAGAAGACAATGGTGAAGAAGACCATCTGGAAGATTTAAAAATTGTATTTCAAAATTTAGATGTCATATATCTCATTTCCTGTAAGTGATATCAAAAAGTAGTTAACTGATAAAATGTTTATCATAATATCAACTACATTTTATTAGTTGATTAATTTTTGATATTTTTTACAGTAACCGAGATAAAACAGCTCAAAGTTAAGAGTTGGGGGGGGGGGGCTCAGAATGCTAATCGTAACTCGACAACCCGTAGATCACATTTCTATAAAAATATCTAAAAATACCAAGAAAACGCGTAATTTTGGAACTTCAAAAAAACAAAATTCTTCAGAAACTCAAAATATAAAAAAAATTCTTATACCGTAAAACCTCTAATAGAACGACACCCGGATCGTCCACTTTGAGCCTATATATCTCATTTTCTGTGAAAGATATCAAAAAGTGGCTAACTAGTAAAATGTTGCTGATATCCTGATAAACATTTTACTAGTTAACCACTTTTTGTTATCTTTCAAAAGAAGTGAGATATATAGGCTCAAAGTCGACGATCCGGGTGTCGTTCTATTAGAGGTTTTACGGTATTTGGAAGTCAAAAAGTATTCCAAAAAATAGATTAAAAATTTTTTGAACATTTTATTTTTTTTTCGGAACTTAACCACTTTGAAGAATTAAATTTTTTGACTTTGGTCTCAAATTCGAATTCGGCTCACAAATTGCTTCAAAATGAGCTCAAACTCGACTAGGCTCCGCCCATTTTGAAATTTCCCATCGACACGCAACGCACGACCGCTGAAAAAGCAAAGTGGGCGGAGCCTAGCCGTGTTTGGGCTCATTTTGAAGCTGATATACTCAGGATGCGTTTCAAATAGTTTTTGGAGAGAAATAACCAAAATTACTTGTTCCTCAAATTTTCCGAAAATCCAAAATTTGCAAACTACAAAAATTGAACTTTTGGAATTCTGGAATTTTTTTCAGCCTGAAAATCTAGGGAAACTCCCTGGAGAGAAAAATTGACTCATTTTTCATTTTTTGGCTCTAGAATAACAACAAAAAAAGATTCCAGAAAAAACGTTTCGAAATCAAAAAATCAAAAAAAAAAAAAAAATCCAAAATCCTAATTAGCCACTAAAACCAAAAACTCTGCAATCTTTTCTAAGCAATTTTCTTTGATAGTTTGAAAATGTCAAATTTGTCACAATTATCACTATTTTTTCAGGAAAATTTTTATAATTATCACTTTTATTATTTTTTTTCTGACCAATGATCTCGTTGAACTTTTATTTTTTTTTTCTGAGAACTTTGAAATAATAATAATTAGGGCCTTTTAGGATAATATTAGTCATATTTAATTGATGATTGCAGTTGAAAAATTCAGGGAAAATCAACAAAAAAACCAGAAGATTATTGCCAACCTACTATTGAAAATAGAAAAAAAAACCTAAATGTTCCCAAAATTTTGTAGTCTCATGACCTCAATTCTCGATATTATCAAAATTAAAATAAACGGGCATCATCCCGCTGCTATTCCGTATTATCTGTGAAAATTTGAAAACTTTTGGTCCGGTCCAGGCTTTGCTAAAGTCGGCGACACGGGAACAACGGGAACAACGGGCACACACACACACACACACACACAAAGATGGGATGAAGAATTTGTTATATTTTTTTTTAATTTTGAAAATTTGAAAATTGAAAGTTTCAACTAAGAGAAGGTTTCTGAAAATTTGGAACTACCAGGAATTTTTTAAAATTTTGGGTCATTTTCAACCAGATATCCCAAAAATTGGGGCTGAAATTTTGATTTGCTTGATTTTTTGGCTTTTAAGAACCTAAACTTGTTTTTGAAATCAAAAAAAAAATCAGATTCCTCATCATCGAAAACCCCGAAAATCCATATTTTTAAAATTTGTCCTAAAAATCTTAAAATCCGAAAAATTAAGAAACTCAGAATCAGAACAAAAAAGTGATAAGGAAAGTGAGATTCGGTTTTATGGAGAGAAAGAAAAACGAGAGTGTAAGTGAAATATGTAATTAAGCCGTTATTTCCCCAAAGAGGACAAAATTATAGGTTTTTGTTTTTCGAAAAAGCTACGCTGTCGACACTGGAGCTTGGTGCACATGGCGTCTACTGTGACCCAATTTATCTCGGTTACTGTAAATGATATCAAAAAGTTGTCAACTGATAAAATGTTTATCATAATATCAGCAACATAAAATGTTTATCATAATATCACATAAAATGTTTATCATAATATCAGCAACATTTTATTAGTTGACAACTTTTTTATATCTATCACAGGAACTGAGATAAATCGAGTTAAAGTAAAGAGATCGGCAGCCGACAGTGTAGCTCATCCGACTTTCCAATTTTGATTAAATTTATCTCGGTTTCTGTGAAAGATTTCAAAAATGTGTTAACTGATAAAATATAGCTGATAATATGATAAAAATTTATCAGTTAAAAACTTTTTGATTCATTTCCTAGGAACCGAGATATAAGGGATTAAAGTTAAAAAGTCAGGGTTGGCTGCCGACCCCTTCACTTTGACCCGGTTTATCTCGGTTACTGTAGGAGGTTTCAAAATTTTGATGGAAGATAAAATGTAGCTGATATTATGGTAAACATTTTATCAATTTACTACTTTTTGATATCTTTCACAGTAACCGAGATATATAGGCCCAAAGTTGTAGGAGGGG